ATTTTCATGCATTTTCAATATTTTCTTACCAGTTTCTCTGTCTGTCTCTCTCTCTCTCTTCTCTCTCTCTCTCTCTCTCTCTCTCTCTCTCTCTCTCTCTCTCTCTCTCTCTCTCTCTTCTCTCTCTCTCTCTCTCTCTCTCTCTCGCTCTCTTCTCTCTCTCTCTCTCTCTTCTCTCTCTGTTATCTATCCATTTATTTTTCTCTCCAATCTGTCTATCTATATTCTATCTCTCCCTATCTGTCTATCTACCTATCTATCTCTATCTCTATCTTTCTATCTCCCCCTCTCCTTTGTTTATTTAGCAGACTATAAGCATCAACCACTTTCCCAGAAATCATCACTTCTATTAATGATGATCAACATCCATTTGGACGAGTGTTACCCCCCCCCCCCCGTCCGACACGTGTGCAGAGTAATGAGGTCGAAGCCAAGTGTTATATATACCCTGAGCTACCGAGAGGACAGCCAGTGAACCCCGGACGCGTGAAGAGAGAGCACGCACGTTCGTAATTTCTCCTGAGGAAGCGTTCGACATGGATAAATTTGCTTTAGGGGCTTTGGTTGTGGGACTCCTGGTGGCGTTTTTTTTTTTTTTTTTTTTTTTTTTTGGGGGGGGGAGGGGGGCAACATAGCGACAGTACCTGGTGCGTGAGTGGGGAAGGGGGGGGGGGGGGTATTAACAAGACTTAAGCGAACTTTTTAATAACTTGTAAGAAACTTGGAAGTCTGATAATAATGACGATGATTATGATGATGACGGTTATGAAGATGATAGTGATGATTTTGATGATATTCTTAAAAAAAGTGATGATCATGATCCTAATAATAATAGGCCTAGTAATAATAGTAATGATGACAATTATAGTAATGATAAGATAAAGTTTATTTGCATACAAGTACTCTTAGACACCTAAGATAATAAACCCTTAAATAGATTCTAAGCTTTTAAAAAATCAAGTAAAAGATAAGACAGATAATTAAATAAACGAAATAAGAACAAAAATTAAGGAGAGTATTTAATAAAGCTTTCCTGAATGAAATAATCTTCAAGAAATTTAGTCACAGATTAGTAAATATTACGAGTAACACGCTAAATCTTTTTTTTTTTTTTTTTTTTTTTTTTTTTACTTTTCAGTGCGTTGGCTATGGGGTCAATAGTGGGCTGGTTGGGGCGTAAGTATGCCATTAAAAGTTTTTGATGGAAAGTAATTAGAAAATAAGTTTTCTTTTAGACTCAGGCTGTCAACTTGCTCTCCCTCTCCCTCTCTCCCTCTCTCCCTCTCTCCCTCTCTCTCTCTCTCTCTCTCTCTCTCTCTCTCTCTCTCTCTCTCTCTCTCTCTCTCTCTCTCTCTCTCTCTCTCTCTCTCTCTCTCTCTCTCTCCTGTACAAAAATGATTATTCAATAAACAAAAAAAACACGCACAAAAGGAATGTATGTATACTTAAATACATACACATATTTGTATATTATATATATTTATGTGTGTATACATAATTATATTTGTAAATATAATAATCATTTATATATATGTGTGTATACAGACGTGCAGTACATATAACCTTTCCGATCACTCCAGTATTTTTTTTTAGTTATTATGAGTATAAAGTCTTGAAACACATCATTATTCTTTCATCACATAGAAAATTTTGTCTGATGCTGTCTTGCCTATACGAAGATTGCTGCATTTATAAGAAAGTCCAAATTTGTTATTCATATATATATATATATATATATATATATATATATATATATATATATACACATAGAATAATCCTTTCACAACAGCTTACTGATGATTCACACTGGAAGACAAAGTATAACCATCAAAAACGTGTTCCTTCAATATCAATAAATATACAGAGCCCCTTGTAATGGTCTCCATTTCGTTTTCTCTTCTCTTTCTTTCTTGTCCCTTTGTCTCTTTCTTTATTTCACTTTGTCCTTTCTTTTTCTGTTTTTGTTGCTTTTAGTAATGGAATAGTCCTCAGTCAAGAAGACCCTAGTAATGATCTCCATTTCATTTTCTCTTCCCTATCTTTCTTTTCCTTTTGTCTCTCTATTTCACTTTGTCCTTTTTATTCTTTATAGAAATGGAATGGTCCTTAGTCAAGAAGACCCTCACATGGGCACCGTCGACCGCGGTCCCAGGACCTTCTACACCCACGGCTTCCCTTACATTCATCGCTACATTATCTCTGGAGGAACCGAGGAGCCCCAACAGACACACGCTGGAGCCGCCGAACCTCTAACCTCGCCTTACAAGGAGACGCTAAGAGTATCTCTTTCCGATCCTCATTATATCCGGACTTCTGAGGCCTCGAGGTACAGGATGGGCGGTTATTTCGGCCCAAGGATGATACGGACGACAACGGAGCAGAGCCCGAGGGAGATTCAGAGGCAGACTCGCCTGGAGGACGTCCGTAGACCACGCCAGCTTTTTATCTCTCGTGAACAACACAATTAACAACGAAAAAGTAATAACCATCTAGCTACAGCAGTCAAGAACGACCTTGTTCCCGCGGCAAACGAGCTAACTACATCTTAAATCATATTAGACTCGTTCAGTACATTTTTTCTTTAGAGTGTTTGTAAGATTCAGTGATGGTGGTGATGATGCTTCCGATGACGATGATGATGTTGACAATGATAACAATAACAGCA